CATACTGGCCATGCCTGGTTGGGGAATATATGCCTTAAGTAATGTATATAGAAGTAGATGCAGAAGAAGAGAACAAACACATTGTTAATGATTGATGATAATAAAAAATGTTTTTTATTCTGGCATAAATACAAGCAACAATAAAGAACTCCTGTGTGGCATGCTATGCTTCAATTAAGCATAGAGAATTAGTATATATTAAAGTATAGAATATGAACAGCATTACTAAGACAATCTCAGCATGGCTCAGAAATAATCTTTTCCTGGAACATTACACAATGGAATCCAGTTATTGAGCTGTGCATAAGCACTTTAATTCTGTCAAACTGTAAAGTTACTGTAGAGCTATGCAACTTGAACATCTGGATATCTTAGTTTATGCTTATATTTAGTATTCAAATCAAGATGTGCTCTACTTATGGTAGAAACAAAAGTAAATGCTCAGCACTTCCTCTCTTGCCGACAATGACATCTAGCATTGGCAAAAGAAGTGAGTGCTATAACAAACAAGGTAATGTTTCAACTGTCCTCCAGTATAAGGAGCCATGGCCCTGAATCACGATATGATTCAGGGTAACATTGAACTAATTACAAACAACATTCTAAATGAGGTAAGATAGAGATCCTATACACTTGAAGAGGTTATAAAGGAATTTTTTTTTTACCTTATGACATTCCCTGCATTAAAGGTAAAAATAAAGTCTCAGCATTTGAGTCCTCACTTGATCCAGCACTGTGCCCATCGGCAGCAACTCTCTCCTTTCTCCTTGCATTCACAGGACAGAGAAGCAGCATCAAGAGACATTGGCTACTGTTGCTGTCAGTCAAATCAGGGAGCAGAGAGCAGTGGGCAAGCCCAAGCAGTGTTGTGTGTGTCTACGGATGCACACAGCTTGGTTCAGAAGTAAGCTTGCACATGCACCCCTATAGGAAGCGGCTTCCTATGGTGGTGCATGGAGAAGAGAAGAAGGCAAGAGTGCTGGTGGCAGACCCCAGAAGAGGAGGTTCCGGGCCACTCTGTACAATACCATTGCACAGAGAAGATATGTAAAACATGTTTGGTATTTAAAAGAAAACATATTTTAGCCTTTACACTCTTTACAACTACTTCAAATGGTGCAGGCTCCTAGTTTGAATTAAACCATGCATTTACTTGTAAAAGCCATAACCTATGTATGTTCAATTTCATTATATATTATTACTATAGTGTTAAATTATGGTTTTAAAAAAATGTATCATGACATCATTTTCTATGCATAATTCCCCAAAAACTGTTAATGAAGACATGTTGGGATCCAAACTAACAAGTTGCAGTACTGAACTCCACTTTCCTGAAAAATGTTATATTGTTAGGTAGAATAAATAATTTTTTTTTTGTAAATATCTTAATGGGTAATCTTGCCCAGGTTCCCTGTTTCCTATTGGTGGTAGCATACCTTAAAGCCCAGATCCAGTCAAAAATATTTATTTGTTTTGTATAGAATGGGGAAGGGTTCCATTAGCTTCTTTATAATTCCATTAGGTTCCTATTGCAATCTGTGTTTCTAGTGGGGATATTTCCCTTCACCTCTTGTCAGAAGAGGAAATAACGTGAACTCACTCATTTAAGAACACAGTCAGAAACACATTTTTAGCAGAGTGAGAAAAGGTTAAAACTTTTAACAACTTTTTTATTAATGTTTTTGCCTTCCTGTGTCAGTGACAACCAATTTAAACTATTTATAGTATGAAATACTATAAATAGTTTATATATATACTATATATATACTCCAGAGATTGGAAATGAGGGAATATATCCAAAATGGGGTAACAGAGAGAAATAACAGCCGGACATAAAAGTAATGTTTCTCTACTCACTTTAAACTTAAAAAAAAGTTTTAATTTATTCTCTTGTTGTTTTTGCTTTTTTTTGTGACCAAACAGTGGTTGAAAAAGGTTGAAATTGCTAGAAAAGTGCTGGCCATATATTTATCCATTTGAAAACTTTCCATTAGCTTCTAACAAGAATGATTTCCTGGATTTGAGCAATCCAACAATCGCTTACTAGATGGAATCCATTAAGAATACTTTAATGCTACCGGAAGACACCTGTGATCAATTTACATCAAAGTTGTGATTGTTTGGTTACTTGAAGCTGAGAAATGATCGAAAGAAGGGATTGCTGTGGACCATTTAGTCACTACAATCTTTTGTGAACACTTAGTATTCACTTTGTGAAGCTTAGGTATCCACTAACCTAAATAAACCATCACATTTTAAAATAACTCCTTTAACCTGCTGCCCACCACCCGGCAATCACTAAGTAACATTGACAGGGGAAGAGACGTGTGTAAACACAGATCTCTCTCCTGCCAGCAACAACAATATGTTTCCCAAGTAAAACACACACAGCACATGTTGTAAAACTCAGCACAGCATAGCACAAGGTTAACCCTTTGATCGCCCCAGGAGTTAACCCCTTCCTGCCCTGTGTCATTAGTACAGTGTCAGTGCTTTTTATTAGCACTGATCACTATATTAGTGTTATTGGGATGACAGTGGTGGTTGGTCAGTTCCCACCTAGTGTCAGAATGCCTGCCGCAGCCCTGCTATAAGTCACTGATCGCTATCATTACTAGTATTAAAAAAAAAATTAAATTAAAAATTCTAGTATATATACCACCATTTGTAGACGCTATAACTTTCACATAAACCAATTAATTTACATGTATTGGGATTTTTTTCTAGTAAAGACATGTAACAGAATACATTTTAGCCTAAATTTATGAACAAATTTTATTTTTAAAATTTTTTTACTGGATATGTTTTATAGCAAAAAATCAAAAATATTTTTTTTTTCAAAATTGTCAGTCTTTTTTTGTTTAAAGCGCAAAAAATAAAAATCACACAGGTGATCAAATACCTCCGAAAGAAAGCTCTATTTGTGGAGAAAAACAGGATATAAATTTAATTTGGGTGCAGCATTGCATGATCACGCAATTGTCAGTTAAAGTATCTCAGTATCGCAAAAAATGGCGTGGTCAGGAAGGGGGGTAAATCCTCTGGAGGGCAAGTGGTTAAGAAAAAAATTAACCCATACATTACCACTTGACTCAAAGCTGTTCATGTAAGTCAGCTATTAATTTGAATCTGCTATAATGAACTTAGTACATGATGTTACATGTTATTATAAGAATCTTAATCTGAGCTGAAATTTTTTTTACAGTTTAAAAGTTCAGCTGAAAGAGAAATCTGTGTTTTTAAGTGTGTCATTGTGCTTCAGTTTGTACATTTGACCTTACACATCCTTTCAATTTCTCTATGACTTTTTGGTGTAGTGTGGAACATATTTAAAAAAACTACTAGTTTTGATCTACACTGAGGTTGGCTGAAGATGGTTATAGGTGACTACAAGATTCACTCATGCTTTTAACCAATACAGACCATGGGTAACCAACACCAAGATCTACTCATGAAATATGCAATGCTTTGAAAGACTCTGCAACCGTCACAGCTCTCTAATATAGTCTGTCCTCATTCCCTGCACAGGCCAGATATTTACAATTCTTGGCAAAGTTGGATTGCTAACATTATTGGCGTCTAGCTGTATGAACATTTGCCAACTAAAAGTTTATTATGATGTTAAACATTTTAAATAATTGGTATAAAACTTATCTCTTATTAACTACATTTGTTCACATTCTAAGATGTCTTACAACTATCAGCAGCATGCGGCTTTGATGTACATTATTATTTTTATTATTATTATTATACACGATTTATATAGATCCAACAGTTTGCTCAGAGCTTTACAATATAATGTGAGACAATACAGCAACAATACAAGTCAATACAAGAGGGATAGGAAGGCCCTGCTCCTCAGAGCTTACAATCTAGGAGGGAGGGGCTAGTGGTATAAAAGGTAGTAACTGTGGGGGATGGACTGGTAGGAAATTATTATTATGTAATTATTATGTAATAATATATATATATGATAACTACATTTTCTTATAACTATATATATATATATATACACATGTTAACACCTCTCCACAGCAGCAAGATCCTTATCTGGCGGTTTATTTGGGCAAATCTGGGCATCAAATCTTTGAATCACTGGAAAGACAGAAGTAATACCATGCCTCAAATATAAACTGTCACTGTGTGGTCTATTTACCAATTAGCTTCCAGGTTTTTTTTTTGCCAAAGCTTAATTGAACAATGTGAGGTTAGAAGCCGATTGGTATTTTTATGCAGAAGTGAGCCTGATTTTGCACTCTCCAGCGTTAGTAAATTACCTAATTTCCCTTCCTGATTATTCAGTATCTCAATTACTTTTGACTATCCACACACACAGACCGTTGTTTGGTGAAATTGTTTTATTATGGCCCATATTTGTGTATATTTTGTCATTTTTCACTGAAGAGAAGCAAATGATGTGCTTTCATTAAATTCTAGAAACACAAAACAGAAGTGCAGCACATTTTTTTTGTGTCTGTGCAAGTGAATATATTTTCAAAATCACAAATAAGGGCATATGTGAAATTAAAACTGACAGACATTTAGGTTCTCTTGTTTGTACTAGGAGAACAATGTCTTTAGTGGATGTGCAAGCTTTGAAGTGGTGGCGTAAAATGTGCTTTACAATAGGTAAAGCGGTTCAGTTCAGATAAGATCAGTTCCGTTAGCAGTAGAGAGAGGTAAATAACCTGTCAGAATATGCAGCTTAAAATGAACATGTGCCCAAATCATACATACTAAAGTATTTAGAAATGCTGAAACAAGCAGTAAAACATTTTTTATTAACCACTTGCCTACAGGGCATTTATACCCCCTTCCTGCCCAGGCCAATTTCCAGCTTTCAGCGCTGTCACACTTTGAATGACAATTGCGTGGTAATGCAACATTGTACCCATATGAAATTTTTATCATTTTTTTAGACAGATAGAGCTTTCTTTTGGTGGTATTTAATCACCTCTGGGATTTTTTTTTTTCTTAAACAAACCAAAAACCACTGAAAATTTTGAAAAAAAAAAAAGTTTTTTCTTAGTTTTTGTTATATAATTTTGTAAATAAGTGATTTTTCTCCTTCACTGATGTGCGCTAATAAGGCTGCAGTGATGGGCACTGATAGGCCGCACTGATGGACACTGATAGGTGGCACTGATGGGCACTGATGAGGAGGCACTGGTAGATTGCACTGATGGGCACTGAAAGGCAGCACTGATACATGACACTGATATATGGCACTGATAGGCAGCACTGACTGGCAGCACTGACTGGCACTGTTAGGCAGCACTGACTGGCACTGATAGGCGGCACTGACTGGCACTGATAGGTGGCACTGACGCGCACTGATAGGCGACACTGACTGGCACTGATAGGTGTCACTGATTGGCAGCACTGATAGGTGGCACTGATTGGCATGGATAGGTGGCACTGACTGGCACTGATGGGTGACATTGAAAGGCAGCTCAGATGGGCACTGATATGTGGCATTGATATGCACTGATATGTGGCATTGATGTGGCACTGATGGGCACTGGCACGTGGCACTGATGAGCACTGACTGCTGGCACTGAGGGACACTGACAGGTGGCAGTTCTGGGGCCACACTGATCATCAGGGCACACTGATCATCAGTGCTCTGATGATCAGTGTACATGTCCCCTCCGCGGAAAGCTGATTACCGGCTCTCCTCTCCTCTCGAGCTGTCAGCGTGACAGCTCGAGAGGAGAGAAATGCAGATTGGACACAGCTGATCACATGACCTGACATGACATCTTCAGCTCTTTCTGTGATCCGTGATCCGCTGTGTCCGAGGGACACGGCGCACCAGCGATCGCCACGCTGCGCGCTCCCTGAGCCGCGCATGCGCGGTGAGAATGGAAGGACATCATATGACGTCCTATCAGAATGAGAGAACCAACTTGCGCCCGTCATTGTACTATTTGGCGGGCGGAAGGTGATTAAAACAATTCCTTGTTTATATTTGAATCGATAAACATTGTGAAGAAACTAATTTTAACATTTCACAACATAGGTATCAAAATATTAGCTTTTTTATACGAATAACTGAATAACTTCACATTAAAAACAAATAGGAAGGTCAGCGATGGCTTGTTTAAAGTAATTTTACTGCTTGTTAAAAATATATAAATATATGTAGTTTGTTATCCATGGAGGGGACACAGTTACCCTTTATTTGACCATAAATAAAGGATTATTTTAACCAGTTCCGCGCTGCTCCATAGCAGAAATACTGATACAGGGCGGCATGGGTGCACAAAATAACTTTGCAGTTCCGGGTGGGGGCACACTTGAAACTGCTCTTTCCACTATTAATTGTTTCCTGTGAAGATGGGATGTTCAGGGAAGCATTACTGAGAGAGCAGATGCCAGCAGCTTTAAAAGTTGTAAATGTGCTGGGGTAGAAATTGTAAGGGTGTATTACACCTTTAACCTCCTTGGCGGTATGATTCCTTCCGATTTTTTGTGCTGAAAGCGGTACCATTTTTTCGCATGGAAATAGTTTTTTATTGTAGGCTGTAATTTTTAGGAAAATTTCCCCACAAATCATTATCACTCAATTCTGTAAGTGGTTCTGATTTACTATCGCTGTTCTCTAGCCGGTCTAAAACCGCTTTTGACGTAAAGGGACGCTTTTTGGACGCCATGGACTTTTCTAAGTTTCCAGGCAGAAAGAACAGACAAAATGCAGGCAGGGCACAGGACAAAGCACTAGGGACAATATGTATGTGAAATGGGATGAAACAGCAATGTTTTACTATTTAAAATTGAAAAAAAAAAAGACATTTTTTAAATTTTTTAAATTTCCCGCCGCCGGCGGCGCCCGTACGTCCCGACGTCACAGGGCCCGGAACACAGAAGCCGGATGCCGGCATCGGCCGGAGGAGATGGCCGGGGACGCTGCAGGGGACACATCGTGGGAACGAAGGACAAGGTAAGTGCTGCAGGGACCCCCAGAGCAGCGCCGCATGGTAAGCCCGAGTGTAGCTCGGGGTTACCGCTTGTGGTATAGAAATTTTACCCCGAGCTACACTCAGGAAAACTGCCAGGGAGGTTAATGAAATTTACATGAGATCACTTGCACTTCACTCGGGCTTTTATGTATGGAACTTTGTACAATTGAGTATTTTTTTGGTATGTTGTTTCATACATGGTTTAGGCTGTGAGAAGTAAAAAAGACTTGCTGATTTTGATCACAAGCAACACATGTATTAGAGTGCTGAAGTGAGGTATTGTAGAGTTAAGATTGTCAGAAGTCAGGAAATGATGAATTTAAATTGGTTGACATGGTGTTTTTGTGTTACTGAATAAACTTGATTACTTTTATGAAGCTTGATAATAGCATAACTTGGTCCACATTTTTATTTTGTTTGCAGGTATAAGGATATAGTTTATACCTACAGAGTGTCTCAAACGTCAACTGGCTCCTGGTCAGCAGAGGTATGGATTTTAATGAATTTAGCATATTTTGTCAATAAATATTTAGGGGCCAGCCAACTAAAGGACAATTTGTTTTATTTAAGGAAGGAATTGTTACCTTTCATTCATATGCAACATATAACCTTTATATTTCTAGCACAAAAAGGAGGAATGCATATATTTCAGGACCGCAACTGCTCAAACCACATTATTATTATTATTACACAGCATTTATATAGCACCAACAGTTTGCTCAGCACTCTACATTACAATGGGAGACAATACATGAGACAGTACAGTAACAATACAATAAAATACACGACGGGTTCGAGGGCCCTGCTCCTTGGAGCTTACAATCTAGGAGAGAGGGGAGAGTGGTACAGGAGGAGATAGCTGTGGGGGATGGAGTGGTGGGGAGAGTGGAGGAGATCAGCAGAATTTGTCAGCGATTAGATCTGGGGCTGGAAAGACAGATTGGAGTCTAGAATGACACCTAGTACTCTGGCTTGCGGGGTGGGGGCTGATGGTGGTTGGTCGTGATGGAGAAGTCGAGGGGGGGGCGTGGGGCTGGGGGGAAAGCTAGGAGCTCGGTTTTGGCAAGATTTAATTTGAGGAAGTGGAGTGACATCCAGTCTGATATGTCGTTCAGAAGGCTAGTAATTCGGGCGGAGACTGAAGGGGTGAGGCGAGGGGTAGAGAGATAGATTTCAGTGTCATCGGCATAGAGATGGTAGTTGAAGCCGTGGGAGTGTATCAGTTGACCAAGGGAGGAGGTGTAGATGGAGAAGAGAAGGGGCCCGAGGACAGAACCTTGGGGGACCCCTACAGAGAGGGGGAGTGAAGGGGAGGTGGCAGCGTTATAGGTAATGCTGAAGGAGCGTTGTGATAGATAGGAAGAGAGCCAGGAGAGAGCGGAGTCTCTGAGGCCGAAGGAGTATAGTCTTTTGAGGAGGAGGGGGTGGTCAACCATGTCGAAAGCCGCAGAGAGGTCAAGGAGTAGTAGCACTGAGTAGTGGCCATTGGCTTTGCCGGTTAGCAGGTCGTTGGTGAGTTTGAGTAGGGCGGTTTCGGTGGAGTGTAGGGGGCAGAAGCCAGATTGTAGGGGAGCAAGGAGGTTGTTGTCGGTGAGGTGGGAGCTTAGGCGATTATAGGCTAAGCGCTCAAGGAGTTTGGATGAAAATGGCAGCAGGGAGATGGGTCTAAGGTTGTTTGGGTCGGTGAAATCCAGGTAGGGTTTTTTAAGTATGGGAGTGATGTGCGCGTGCTTCAGAGGGGAGGGGAATGTGCCAGTAGAGAGGGAGAGATTAAAGATGTGAGGGAGCGTAGGATGGAGGAGGAGGGTGATCGTAGGAGTTGTGTGGGGACAGGGTCGAGAGGGCAGGTGGTAAGGCGAGCTTCAGAGAAGACCTTAGTGACCTTTTCGGTGGTAACGGGGTCGAAGGAGTGGAGTGTTGAGGGGGTTTTAGCGTGAGGAATGTTGGGCTGGGTGGAGGTCTGGACAGTGGTGAGGTCGAGGGAGAGGAGTGTTGAGGGAGTTTTCGTGTGAGGGATGCTAGGTGGGGCAGAAGTCTGAGCAGTGGTGATGTCCCTGCGAATTGCGTCGATCTTGCTTTGGAAGTGGTTAGCAATCTCGTGGACGGTGAGTGAGGTATTGGGTGGAGGTGGGGGCGTAGAGAGCAGGGAGTTGAAGGTGGAAAACAGCCAGTGAGGGCTGGAGGAGAGGGTATTGATGAGGGTTACAAAGTAGGCTTGCTTGGCAGCATGGAGGGAGGAAGTGTAGGTGAGGAAGGCGAATTTGTATTGGGTGAACACTTGCTGGGATCTGGTTTTGCGCCATAGTCGCTCTAGCGCGCGACTGCATCGCTTGAGGTTTTTGGTATGGTCATTCTGCCAGGGTTGAAGTGGTCAGGGTCTAATGTTTCGTGTGGTTAGGGGTGCTAGGGAGTCAGGAGCGGCTGACAGCGAGTTGCTATAAAGAGTAGTGGCCAGGTCAGGGCAGGACAGGGGAAGGATACTGTCGTAAAGTTGGTCAGCTGCAGAGTGGAAGGGGGCAGGGTTCAGGTGCATCCATGTCCTTTCATTTGCCCTAGTAAAATATTATAAATAAAAAGGAAGGTGCTTTTCAAGTCTGTCATGTGTAATTCTGACATTGATTATTAAAGCACAGCGCTTATTCTGACACAGGCATTCAAATCCATTATAAAGCTTCATCCACATCAGTTGTTTTGCCGAGCTTCACCCTAGCAGGTCCTACCTGCCACCATGAAGCTATGCTGAAGAGAAAAAACAGTTTGTATGATGTTTCATTAACATTCATTAGTTGATGAGTCCTGAATTCCTACTCTTTCCTGCTCCTGCACCACTTATACCTGGGGAAAGTTTATGAACTGCTCCTGCTAACAGGACATTCTATTTACAGTATGTGAAGTACTAAACTATGCCACATGCTATGTGTTCTCTTGGTGTTAAAAAAGTATGTTTAACCACTTGTGTTCTGCTTCGTGTTATTGAACTGTTGTATAACACTAGTCAGACAGTGTAACAATAATTCAGAAGTCAAGAAACGTGAGACATCAGATCTGTATGTATTCTTTGTTCTGAATAACTTTGTAAAACTACAACATAAACACAAACAAAACATATGTGTCAGTACATTAAACATTGTACAACAGCTTCATCCCATCAGTAAGTGTACTCACAGACAATTCCACCATATGTCCAGGAATAGCTTGGAGCTTCACTGTATGCTACTTGCTAGTTTCAGAAGCAGTCACAAAATGGAGGACAGGAAGTTCCAGCTTAGAGGTTATTGTATGTGAAAATTACCACTTCCTTAAATCCTGCTATAACAAGGCATAACAACTCTAACCACTAGATGGCAGCAACATCACATAACATTACATTATATTATATT